ATTGGTCTGTTGAAGTTTGGGGCCAAAAAGGTCCATCAAAAGGTGAGATGATGAAGTGGGGGTTCTTGATACCTTGTACTGGACAATTTGCATTCTGGGGGGCACAAGGGAAGTGTGAGTAGAAGATGATGCCCTTTTTCAGCTTCTACCAGTGTGCTGTAGGGGGCCGAGGGAAGGGAAGAAAGACGGCTGCCAGCTGGTAAGAAGGGAAATAAATAGCAAGACTTTCCGTCAGCTAGGAAGGGGTAACTCAGTTCAGATCTTACCCCGTCTCCATAAAGGCCAGTCCAAATTTTGAATCTTTTGAGGTTCAGAAAAGGATGTTTTTTTTTTTTTTTTTTTTGTGCTAATGCATTAATTGTTTCCAGGCAGACTGGGAACAACAGAGCCAAGACATTGCAAGGAAGGCTGCAGTCCAGGTAATTTGAGGGCTGTTAGGAGGCTGAGAAGCACCAGAGAATTCATGATAAAACCTGGAGTCTTTCATTCTCCAGAATGTTTTGTAGGTCTGGGAGGTCTGAACAGTGCCGTGTTTTGGGGTGCTCAAAGAGAAAGAAAGACAAGAAGGGAAATGTCACAGTACTTAGGAGTTATTCCAGCACTGCTGTGCTGCCTTTAAAGGGAACCTCAGGAATTTGTTGCCTGATCTGGGGGACCTTATTTCTGGCTCCTGAGATTGTTCTCCCAGCTGGGCAAGATCAGTCCTTAGCACTGCACACTAGCATTACTTGACCCGAGACATGAGCATTACCTTTTCTTGTGACTCAGTTGAGTGTGAGCATTCTTGGCTGCACGCATGTTAGCCAAAGCTTGAGCCTGCTATCTCTTCACTGCCTGCTTGGGTTGTTGCTGGTTTAAAACCTGTCATTGCAGAATTCATGCTTACCAGGTGCTCTCCCCTTTCAGATGTCTGATTTGGTGTGGTCTCCCAGTATAAGTACTGGGAGAAAAACAGCATAACAACAGTCTTCAGGGGGTTGCTTCGCCAAATCCTGCCCTGCCAGTCAGCAACAGCACAGTATCACCAAACCACAAGAGCTTTTATACAAGGCTTTTATTTAAAGGAAGTAAAAAAATGTTGGCTTTAGTCATATTAATTTCGCCTTTTTATTAGCTTTTAGGGAATGAGCAACAGCTCAGTGAGTTGTGTTTGTAACAAATACAGGTTATGAAATAAGTGTATTTCATTATTTGCTCATTTTGCAATGAAAGGCTCTCCAAATCTGCCTCCTAAATGGTTTAACTCAACATTAGAATTGATGCTGCCAAATACCGACTGATTCAATAGACGATGAGTTTCAAATTCCTCTTTTACATGAGGAATGTGATATAGAACAATGACCTCAATTTTCAGCTGTGTCCTCAGATTCACCTCTTTTTTTGGCTGTCTCTTTTTCTGTTTCAGTATCTTATCATAATTTTTCAAGTCCGGAGGGTCTTATAAGGGCACTACTGTTTAATAATTAGACACTATAGCTCTGATGGCTCTTCTGGTGACATCTTTTACAACTAACGAGTATTTAATAGAATGTAATTAGAAGCTCTGATCCTTAGACCTTGACCTGTCTAGACCTTGTATACAACTAAGTGACCAGACAGCCCTTAACACTCATTAGGAGTTATCTGCACCCCACTTTACAAAGCTATGTGAGGAAACTGTTTAGATTTAGCCTCAAGCCACCTGCTTCGTAATCTGTTGCTGTGCACTCAGTTGATCCTGCTGTCCTTATAGTAACTGGAAAGCTACCAATGATTTCATTTTAAAGCAAATATTCTAATTCAGGAAGCACAGAATGGAAAGCTGGTTGCTATATTTGTCAGCATGTGACCTTCAGAAAGCCTGTAATTAGGAAAGATTACTTCAATGCTATGGAGAAACTCATCGCATCATTGTAAAATGGAAGAAAAACATGTAAAGAAAGTTAGGGAAATTAGCTAAAATGTGTTTTGATACAGTATATTCAGCTGGAGTATATTTGATAGTGCTTTTTTACAGATAATATATTTGTTTTGTTCTTATTTCTGAAAGTCCCTTGTGTCTTTAAAGTAAATTAACACTTTTTGCTATTGATTTTAAAAAAAAAAGAAATTAAAAAAAATCTACATATATATTTCTGAAGAATAGCTTATTGGGCATGGCACCAAGAAGCACAGGGAACAGTTTTCTTTCTTCTTCATTGATTTTTGAATGTATCTGTGCCTACATTGCCAAATATTGTTAAATATCCTTTTAAATAGTCCATAGACCTATTCCCTCACTCTCACTTTTTCCTGTTTGAATTTCATCCTAATGGAATAGATTATTTGTTGTCTGAGTTTAACTCCAACTTCTGCATCCATGAATGTCCCACAGGTCTAGGGGTAAAGATAAATGTGGCAAGTCATTTAACAAAAAAAAGGAAAAAAAAATTCTTAAGATTTCTTTGATAAAGTTTCAGTGGCTTAGGAAAAAGATACAAATACATACTTAATATATTTGATCTTGATCCTTTCTGGAAACTGTTATATAGTACCAAATGCATCCATGTATAGAAGACAGGTTTTATTTAAGGATGTGTCCAAATGATCTTGTTAATTGTAATACAACATTTCAATTATTTGTCTTTTGAAAAGTGTTCTGTTTTGAGATGTTAGTCGCAAATGGAGGAAATGAAGTGTTGATGTAGTAAGGAATAATTTACTATGTCTGGAGAGTTCTAAAGCAAAACATCTGGATCAATTTGTTTACAAAGTCCCTGTAGATAAAAAAAGCAGTATCTCTCCAAGGAATCAGTTTGTGCCCTTTCTGAATAATCATTTAAAAAAAAAAAAAAAAAAAAAAGTTATTTTTTTTTAGTGCAGAGCAGAAATAAACTGTAAAACTAATCTCAATACTCCTTCAGCCTTAGGATAGATACACAACATTTCAAGTAATTCAACTCATGTGAAAACGTTCCACCAGGAATACGTTGCTCTTGGATCCCCAATGCAGTAAAGCCCTTCTGCAGAGCAGTTTTGCTTCTCCAGCACTGCTGCTCAGTTTTTGCCTTTTTTAATAATCATTTAAAAAAAAAAAAAAAAAAAAAAAGGAAAGTTGGCTATCATCATACACAGAAATCTCCTGGGAATTTGTTTATTAAGAAATCCAAAGAAAGTTTGAAATCCTGTTTCATAGGAGATCAGCTAGTTGCTGAAAATGTGGCGTGATTTTGTGATCTTAATTTAGCCTGGTCTGCCCTGTTTATCTCTTTCCCCTACAGCCCTCATCTTAAAAAATAATACATTTTAGAAGTTGAGAGTAAACACAGCATGTTAGAGATATGCTGGAGATGAATGTGGAATGGAGATAAAACCCTTCGTTTCACATGGTCAAGAACATCCTATGATAACTGAAGCATTTCATAATGTAAGAAATAAACTTTCTTTTCATTTTGAAGATCTAGCTCTTGGTGCTATTGAATTATGTGGGAGGTGGCCCCCAACTTAGAGAAAGACACATATAGGTTGAACCTGTCCTTGAAAAAGAGCTAAGCAAGAGCTCTTTTGTATTCAGGTGCCGTAATCTGGAAGAGCATAGGACTCCATTTGCTGATATTGCACCTGCTCTTGAAAGGTGTTTTGGGTTCCTCTTTTAACAAATGGAGCCACAACCAATACTATAATCACTGTGAACTTTGCCATGACTTTGTCACTAGGTTAAATTATGATCGTAATTTTATTTAGAATGCTAAATTCTAAATAGAGAATAGTCAGTCTCCTGATGGGACTGTAGGTGTTCTGAGAGTATAGGGTGTCTTTGATAGACTTCAGTTATAGTTAGTACAAGCAACAGTTTAGCTGTGTTAGCAGTTAGTTATGGCCATAGTTTCTGAGGTCTGTACCTGAATGTTATATGTTTTCAAGAGCTTCTTCAAGCACTTCCCTGATTTGTGGTATTTTTTCAGATGTTTTCTGCATTTGCAGGACTTTATCCTGAAAAGCCATGACAGATAAAGAGTTAATGTATGAGGAGTTAAAGAGTTAATGTTAAGAGGACAATTTTTACAGATCTTGTGTGTGACCTTAATTTTTTTATGTGTCAAGTTTACCTTTTATGCATCCTTTTTGTATAGAATACAGATGCAAAATGCTAACATTGGAATTTAATTTTGTGGTTAGAGATTTAACATGGAGGTTGCACATTTGATACCTCTGTTGCTTTCTTGAAAAGGTCAGAAACATGGGCTGATATTGTCTATATATCTATCCTTTTTCAACTCCAAGGTGCATGTGTCTCCCAGTAGTAGATTTTTTCTGCTATTTAGAGAAGTGAAGTCTCCATCCTTCCTGTGGGACATTATCCTTGGAGCTTCAAGTGAATTAAACACTTGCAGAAGAGGAATGGCTCTGGGACAGAACACGGGTCTAATTCCATCCTAAGTTTGGTCATGAATCTGAAGGTTGTGGTTCAGACAAACTTCAGAGCCATATAAATTCAATTGCAACTCAGCATCGGCATCCACAAAGCCCAGCTGAGAGTCCTGTTGTTGTTGACAGTATACTGAACTCATAAAGAATCTGGGCTCAACACAAACAAACAGGATCATTATATAAATCAAAAGAAGATGAAAGTAGAACCCACATCTTTCAGCTTGAGTACTAAAACTCTGCCAGGAGGAATAAAAGATACTTCCTGTAAGGGTGATGAGTTGCAATTTCCTTTTGAGTTCTCTTATATTATATGGTAAAGAGAAGGGGAGAATGGCCTGATTAAACCATATGGGTATGGATTCCTTCTCATTTCAACATGCAGGTTTATTTAAAATTAACAGGCAGTTCTTACTATTTTTGGTTCATTTTATGACCATTACACCAGCCCTGTGAAATGATACTGGTTATCTCCATCCTGGAGTTCTGAAAGGAGAAAAGAGAGTATTTGTCTTTCCCAAGAGAGCACAACAAAGCCATTATACTTGCCTGGATTAGATGTCCTACTGTTCCTAGATCATACAGTATTTATTTAATCCTGTGTTCTTTTGCAGTGGGAGTGTGTTTTCATGCAGATGCTGAGTAATCTCCCAGTAGCATAGAGGACATTGCAAAGATTTGGAGTTTTGTGCAGTGTTTCTGCCTCTTGGTGTGGACATGTGAGGTGTGTGCATAATAACTGGTTAATGAGGTGTATTTATACATTTGTTGATAACAATTAAGCAATAGATTTTATGATCTGTAGCAGTAGGGCCTCAGAAGTCACTACAAATATATTTTATTATGAAGTGGTTTAATCACACAACCCAATGTTTTAAGTTTACTTAGCAGATGTGTTTTCTTTCATAGTTCATTTAAAACCAGAAAAGCAATTTAATACTTTCTTTATTTTGTTGATTAGTGAAATATTCTCACAGTCTTCCGGTAATTGCTGGAGAAATTAATGGAGTATTTGGAAAAGGTTCTATGTTAAGTAGGAATTTAGAGTGAGATCCAAAAAAGCACTTAGATCCCTAAAGAAAAACTTAGACAGAATCTAGGTTCCTAAATCCAAGGGAGTGATTCAAAGGCCCTGTGCAGAGACCCAGAGACTCAGCACTGCTGAGGCTGCTTAGGTTGCTGAGAACCCAATGTTCTGCTAATGCCTGTGCTCCGCAGGGCTGTTGTCTTTGTGGAGCTGAACACTGAGCTATCTTTTTCCCTTTCTAAGATAACACAATAGCCATAAACGAATTGTCCTGCTACCTACATCCCTTTTTAGAGCTTAAATCTAGTTGCTACCCATCAGCTTGTCGCCCATGTACTGGCAGGATGGAATTCACAAATCAGTCTTAATTTTCATTCAAAATGGAGGCCTTTCATTTGTTGCTGTAACATAATAGGACTCTCAACTTCATTTATTATTGATTAGAGATGTGTACTCTATATTTGCAACAATGTAACCACCTTGTCTATCCATACCAGAATCTAATAATTCGAGCAGTAAAAAGCAGTTGTAAGGGATTTTTCAGAATGCTGCCTGTTCCTGAATTTGTCTTGATCCTGTTGATTATATTCAGGTGTTTTTATTGGAACTGGTTGAATTACTCTTTATTAATGGTAACTTAAATAATATCAGACTGGAACTGATCTGTCTTAATGGAGGATCCTGCTAGATTTGCTCATTTCAACATTGGCAAAAAACTTAAAAATGCTTTACTTCTTAGATTCATTTCCATCTTCTGTTTATCTGGTTTAACTTCCAAGTCTCTGCAAAAAGGCCTCTTCCTTTTATGGCTTCTTTCTGCTGTAGACGTCATATGGTTGAAAAGAAATGTAGTTTTGCTGAACTTTTCTCCACAAGCCAGTTGAAGGAACAAATTAATTCCCTGATCAAGGCTTGGGGGTCTCCTGCCAATACACTTGCAATAAAGTTTATACTTACCTTTCAGTATTCTATTGGTTAGAAAAGAAAAGAGAAGAGAAAAGAAGAGAAAAAAGAAAAGAAGATAAAAGAAAAGAAAAGGCAATGAATCCCTTCTCTTTGGCCACATCTTCTGGTCTTCTAAAATGTAATGAAATGATCTTCTGTAGTTCCAATCCGTTCTTGGAGGTGTGGTGGTATGAAACAGTTGCTAAGTCCACATCCACATTGAGTGTATGTATACCAATGCACGCAGCCTAAGGAACAAACAGGAGGAACTGGAGCTCTGTGCCCAGTCAGAAGGTTCTGATAGGAATAACTGAATCGTGGTGGGGCAGCTCACGTGACTGGAGAATCGGGATGGACGGCTATAGGCTCTTTCATAAAGACAGGCAGGGAAGAAGAGGAGGAGGAGTTCTATGTTAAGGAGAACCTTGAATGTATAGAAGTCAATTTCAGCCAGTGTGGAAGCATTATCAAATGCCTCTGGGTCAAGAGCAGAGGGGTAGTCTCCAAGAGGGATCTTACAGCTAGAATAAATTGGGAGATAAAAATTGTCATCAGACTTTAACTGATATTTAGAACCAGAACTTTACTAATGTGTCTTGGGTAATGAAGTGCCCACTGAGTGTGCTCTGCAGTGGTATGGGCAGCCTCAGCTTATTGTATTTTCACTGTTGTCAATACTGGTATTTTATAGAAACTGAGCCTATTTTCAGTTGTTTAGGAAAGAAGACAGCATGAGTATGTCTGGGAAACAAATCCCTCATAAAAATATCTGCTCTGGTGCCTGCCTTTCTCTCAAGACAAGTATATAGGAAAGTGGACAGATACCACAAAGGTTAAAAAGTAACACCTTGGAGTTTCAAGCCTATATGCCTTTTTTATGTACGTTGGAAAATAATTTTTTTGCAAGCATTATTTATGCAATCTCTGAGTTTACTGAGGTTTTAGTTAGTATGAAAACAAAAAGGCAGTGACGAATGAGACAGGGTAGTACTGAGACAGCACTGGTAGTGCTAAGATATAATAAGTAGTACTAAGAGGGTAACAGCAGCGCTTGTATGCAGTAAAATAAGGGAAATTTTCTTCAATGTACTCTGAGAGTATAATACAGGCAGGCTGCTGCTGCTCCTAGTATACAGTGTCCACCAGGCACGGTGATCTAAAAATGGCCATGACAGCAAACAGCGTGGACTTAATCCACTGCCACCCCTGAAAGAGTCCACTGTGTACTTGATAATCAGATTGGTTATGATTACTGTCTGTAGCCATGAAGAACTGCTGCTGTATGGCAAAGAAATGTATTGTGGCCAGTCCCTCGGCTCAGAGGGCAGGGTGTGGAAGTGAACGTCCAGAGCTCCTCTCTTCTTCACAATGTATGCTGCTGCTTGCTGAAAAGAGAAAGTCGCAATAGAGTTTGAATTTCTATAGTATTCGGCTGCACAGAATGGATTTCCATTGATGGGGTGAATGAATAACACAGTGGATTTAACTGACAGTTACCATGATGTACTCAGGCCTCTGTGAGGCACTTGACTGAGTTCCACATGGCATTCTGATTTAAAAAAGATTAGCACTATGCAAAATCAGTGTAGTCCATATTGTATGAATTAAAAACTGGTTAGCTGGTAGGTCATAAAAAGGAATTATGGAATTCTTCCCTGAGGAGAGCTTTTATAGTGCAGCCTTGCTTTCAATTTCTTTATCAAGGTTTTGGAATAAAATACATTACAGCTGGTAGAATTTGAAGATAGAATAAAAAAGGACAGAGAAGAAAAGATGATTTATAATTGCAGTTGTGTTAGATTTTCCTCCAGATTCTGTCTTTAACATGCTTGCCTAGCCATTGTGCAGGTCTGTGGAGTGTGGATCTGGTTACATTGTGCTGCTTTTAGTAGGAGGAACTGTGGTGATAATGGAGATTTTGGAGACAGTTTATGTATATGCACAACCATAAGGCTCGATAAATGTGCCCCTCTGAACATTATAGATCAATATAGGTAAACTAAAGGTCATATATTTAAATACAACAAATGATGCTATGCTTGGAAGGTAGAACTCTCTATTAAATATTCTTGAATAATATTCAGAATAAAAAGTATATAACTAATTGAGCATGAGCATCCCCTGTAGTGGTGTTACTGAAATGGATAAAAATAATGCTTGGATAAATGTAAAGGGATTTCTAAAATAGAATAAGAAGATTATATTATCTTCAGATGTAGCACCAGGGAGACCACTAATGAAACACTGTGTCCAATCCTATAATCATTGTTTTCACAGTGAAGTTGGAAGGATTGAACTAACATACACAAAGCGATCTTAGAGATTCTAAACCACAGATCTCTGACAAATGAGCTTTGTGAGTTTCACTGTGTTTATTAAAGGTGCTATTTCCTCCGTCCACAGGACAAAGAGCCAAGAATGCTAATGCCAATGGTAATTAATAGTGAAAGAGCAATTTACCTAGATCTGTGGTGCATTTTCCACAATTAAATCAAGAGTGGGAGTGGGTGCTTTCTAAAAGAGATCTATGGCACAGATGATAGCAGTGTGCAGGTATGACAATAACACAGTATTATGAAATGAACTGCTATAGCTAATCACATGTAGAAGGTCTGATAAAACTAGCTCATTATAATTCTACTCTTACAGACCTGTCCATCTAGATACTCTGTAGTCCACAGAGGACAAGAATTTGGTACTGGTACAACTGAATACAGTTACTACTTTATTTCAAATTGTGGAGGCTTTTGCTTTTGTTGTTGCAAGCTCTATTTCAGCCTTAATGAAACAGAAAAAGGAACAGAGGGAGAATTTTGAGGGAAGAAAACAGTGAGTTCTTAATGTTTTCACCTTCCCATTGTCAAGCCTCAGTTCATGATGTACAAATAAACTAAAATTCACTAATCAGGTTACTTAAAATATCCAAAATATGTTGTTCTTCTGCACTACGAGGGGACAGAGACTTAAAAATGGTGCATGAAACTAGAAACAGTAGCAAAAGTGTTTAAAAAACTAGACTGAGATTTAAGTTTTGTCTTTGAATTCCGAGTGCTGTTATTTTAAATTTTACCTGTCCACTTGGGGAACAAAAGTGCCTTGGCTCCATTCTTAAATAAGGTTTTATTCTACCCTGTAATAGATTCCACAAAATTCTAACTGTTATGGAACATTTATATTCATGTCTTCAGTGCCCCAGACAAGGAACTATATATTTTTGTTTATTGTACCCAGATTTGTAGTAAAAAAATCTGAATTAATCTATAAGGTGGCTAGTAGCAAAAATGTAATGAGAAAATTTGGTGACAAAGCCATTGTTCTTTAGGTGATGAGCTATTTCCTTCTACTGTAAAGTGGATGGTTTTGGAGCATACCTGAACAAGCTGGAAAATCCTGCAAGATTTCTGAGTGGAAATGGGCATAATATTAATTGAAGGCTGATTAACTTAAAATAATTTTTTGAGACCCATAATATGGGCAAGTGGCAGGACTAGAGGATTTATAAGGAAGTTGACAGAAATCAGACCTGATTTAATTTATTGCACATACATTTAACCGACTATCAGGTGTTGCTTTCAGTACGTGACATAATGCAAGTGGTTTATTGCCTTCTCTGCACAGCTTTATACATTTCAAAAGAGCAAGGAGTTGTAGTTTCCTCACCCAAATATCCGAAGAACAGATTAAATCTTCTGTTTCTTCCAAAGAGGACAAGATTTTCCAGGGTTTTCACTGCTTGCACTGATTTATAGCATGGGCTGAAGTCCTTTTGCTGGTCAGGAGCAATCCCTGCTCAGTATGTTAGATATTACACAATTTCTCTCACTGATGTATTGATTGCATCTTGTTGACATGTGAGAAAATAGTTGATTCTTTTACTTGAGTGTCTTCTAGGAATTGTGTTAGCCCGCATGCATGAGGTTCAGCTGGATGTTAGCGTGACCATCTGCCCAGGCTAACCTCCATCACACTTTTGTTCCTTCACTTGTAGACCTTGGGGAGAAGAGTCCAGTGGAACTGAGCAACTGATGTAGGTGACAGCCTGCATCAGGTATAGAAGAGGACATCAGTGTACAGCCTAACAGCATTTGAACGCTCAATCCCAGTGATTTTCTCATAGGAAATTATTCTGGAGTGGCTCCTGCTGATACATTGTCCTGGATTAATTTCCTACACAGATTCTCAGGTAAGATTGCAAGACAAACTATACCAGAAGTTGCTATCTCACCAGGGTTAATCAGGAAGATTTATATTTAAATTCATACTCTACCTTAATCTAAATTAGCTTCTCTGTATAGGTGACCCTTCATATCTTGGAAGACCCTTGAATTTCCTTTACTAGTTTCTTTCCTTTAAAAGAAACCCAAAACATTAGTAATCATAGTTATTCCCTCACCCACATGCAAAGCAATTGGTAGTAGTCACTAGAGAGGGCAATTGGTTTTTTTAATTCAGATTACGTGTTACCCAAGGTTTTGATTAAATTACACTGAATGTTAAATTAACTGGCACTAGAAGTTAGTGGCAGCATTGTAATGAACTATATGAACTAGATAATTTACAGCCAGGCAGCAACCATATGGCATTTACATGTGTATGTGCATCCTGCACTGACATGGAAATTGGTCTGACCCATGTGACCTGTGTTAGCTGGGGAAATTCTGTCCTGAAGCCAATTGCCACACTTCCCAGATGCCAAAGGCAAAACTGCTCTAATCCTATAATCCCATTTCATAATACAGACTTCCATGTAGTTTGGAGCACAAACCCAGAATGTATCTTGCTCAGTTAAAATATTTAGCTTGGTCTTCGTTCTGGTGGCTTCACTGCATTCCAGCTGCAGGAGAAAGGAGTCTCCTGGAATTTGAAGATGGTTTACTTGAGCCAAATTTTGCAGTCTTTAATTGAGCAAAATATTCAGAGAGCAGTATCTTCTATCTTTGCCAGTAAATTTGAAGGGCAGTGATAGGCAGATCTCTTCCTCTATGTCATTTTAACCTGGGAAATATAACAAAGCTCTTGCTGTGTAGCTATATTTTAATAAGATCCCTTCCCAGATCTCCAAAACTTTTATTTTTCCATGAGAATTAGATGAGAGATCCTGTATATGCAAGTCAAGGTTTAATGTTTGGCTCACTGATCTTATTCTGGAATGCTACTGGAGTCTGGATTTCAAGGAAACACTTGAGGACAGCAGCACATAGTCATAGATTTCTCCCACTTGCCCTCCCACTCCTTAACAAATACCTAAATCTGTTATACTCAGTAAGTTTTACTCCTAAAATGCTTTTAGGCAGCAAAACATGGATGGCTTTTACCAAACCCTGAAGATTGGCATTGAGTTTTTGGGCTCATTTAATTTTCCTTTAAAAAAATATACAGAGAAAATATACAGAGAAAAGGAAACATTCATTAAACCATCTGCATTAATCACTGTTGATAGTTCAGGAAAGAACTGAGACTAATAGAGGCTAAAGTGTTCCATAAAAAAATATGTATTTACAAAAATAAGCAGAGGAAACATTGCAATGATGCTTCTTAGAAGCCATTGTTTTGAGAATACATTTCCTGGGAATTTCAATGAATTTAAAATCTGGTTTACAGTTATTTTGGGTGTGTTTAAATCCACCCCCAACTCTCCACCCCCCGCTTTATTCTGTTTTCTTCTGACAGCCTAAGCAGCAAGGTGACTATATTTTTGAGCCATTGTTTTATTGATATAAAAATAATATCCTCTTACATTACCCTAACTTGTCCCTTACCACTGAGAATCTCAAAGCATTTTACAAACCATATTGTATTTATAGCAAGTGCTTTGCTTCCTACTGACAAATATCCACTTCTGAGGCAAATGCAGCAACACAAGGCAACGAATTTTAGGGGTCTGTTCTGAGGTGCAAGGGGAAGTTCTTTTGGTAGGAGGGGCAGAATTTCTTAGGCAACTGAATTTGAGCAAGAACTTGAGGATACAGGAGAGGCAGGAGTCTCATATCCAGGCTCTCTCTGTCACATGCAATGTAAAATCTCATCAACAGTATGCCATTTGTTCTGTAGATGAAGTTAGGTATGTTCAGTATTCAATAGAGAAGTTGGAAAGTGTCAGGTGTTGTGGTTTTGCTCATATGAGCCTTCTTAAGAGCTAAAATGTGAACTCTTCCTTTGGTTAAAGGTGTAGGCAAAGGTTAAAAAAAGGTTAAAGATCACTGTTTGGACAGTTTCTGCTCATCAGCAGGACCATGGGGACATCACACGCACACTATCTCAATTGCTAGTTAAAACGTTGTAGATTAAATCACTTACGTGAGGACATTTAAACTGGTACTGAATAAGCTATTAAGTGTGTACAGCACATCAAAGTGATAAGGAGAGAGTGATCTTTAGGATTCAGGTAGTGTAGAGCAGACACAACACTGCATTGGACTCGCTAGTCTACCTGAAAGGTTTGGATGTTAAATCAATTACGTATAACAAGATGAGATGTGGTGTGACGAGATTTACAGAAAACTTGAGTTCCTCTGCATGGTGGGCAGGGAGGCTCTGTGCTGGAATAACCTCACTGGTGTTAGAACAGAGAACTCCATGACTAATTGCAAGGCCTTAGTTTCTGTGAATGGGAGGGCGGAAAATTCCCAGGAAGTGATTTGTTTGTATTCAGAAAGAGTACTCACGCTAAGCCTGGTTTTTGGTTCAATTTGTATTGATTATGTAACAGCAGGTTGTACCATCTGTTTGGCAGTGGTGTATCATCCCGCTTGCTTCGATCGTATATTTCCCTTCCTAAACTTACCCTTGGGTTTCAGTTTAGATTTGGGGTAATGGGTGTTCCAAGAGAAAAATGAGCCACAATCTTCTCCTGGTCTTGCTTATGTTTTCCTTAAGTGATGGGTGGACAGCAGCGTTTTTAACAGATGTTTTTCACAGGCTATTGCATAATTATTTTTCAAGTGGCTTCTAAAAGCAGATGTTTCCATGTCTTTGTTCTTTCCCCTCCTGACACTTTAACACAAACAGCAGATTCCACTGCTGCTGTCCTTTAGATCTAGTGAAGAAAATACCATAGCAGTGATGCCGGGTTTTTTTTCAGCCTATTTGGCAATAATAAATACGTACAGGCACAATTCTCCTCCCTTTCTTCCTTGTCACTAGCATTGCTTACAGATATTATCTCAGGCTTTCTCTTTTAGAAATGCTGTCTTTCTCCATGAACTTTGTGCACAGTTTAGTATTTGATCTTTACTTTCTTCCAAGACTTAGTTCCTAGTAGCATCCTGAGTGAGTTACTGTGAATCTTTTACTCCATGGGACTTCAATGGGACTTCACTTTACCTCATGCCAGGGTAGATCATAACTGTCACTTGTGGCATCTTGAACACTGTGAAGACCCTTTGGTATGGTTTTGGATATTTTTTGGTCAAATACCCCCATTTTCTTTTCCTCTCTCATGAATAGATATTCAACAACTGGACTTTCCCATTGTTTACAGAAATAGCCCTGCTTTCTTGCAAACCATTTTGTAAGAGAACGTTCTAATTTGACTACTTGTTCCTCAAAGACCAAGGGAATGCAACTAAGAATGAAATAAAGGGGAGGCCCAGACAAGTTTCATCCAGGCATAATTTATCATTACAAAAGATGAACTTCAGCTGTTAGTCTAAAATGATGATAAATGCTTGGATAAAGAAAACAAAAGCTTTCTAGTAAATCTACTCTATGTCTTAATTTGAACATCATAGCTTTTATCTCCAGCATTTGGAACATCATGTGATGATGTAGCACTACAGCAACATGACAGATTTTGTCTTGTTCTGATTCTGGGTTATTTAATAATTGATGTGGGTGTAGGAGGATTCTGCTTTCTTCATCTTCCTTTTTACTGGATTTTTAGGAAAGCAAAACATTTTTGAAAGATGAAAGATAATTTCATGAGAGCTTTACCTGGAGCACAGAATCACAGAATGTCTGAGGTTAAAAGGGACCTCTAGACATCATGCAGTCAAAGCTCCTTGCTCACAGCCGGGTCAAGTACAGCAGGTTGTTTGGGGCAGCATTCAGTTGTGCATCTGCACAGTAACTGCAATGGTGGAAAGTCCTAATTCTCTCTAGACAACCTGTTCCAGTGCTCTACCCCTGTCACAGTAAGAAACTTTTTTCTTATCTTTAAATGGATTGTCAGTATTTCAGTTCGTGCTTGTTGCCAATGGCGCTTTCACTGGACACCAAGAAGAAGAGTCTGGCTCTTCTTTACAGCCTCCCAGCAGGTATTTATATGCATGGATAAGATTCCCCAAGTTTTTCTGCTACATGGACTAAATAGTCCCAGCTGTTCAGTCTTGGTGATTATCTTGGTGTTTTAGATTTCTGGCAAACTGTAGCAATCACTTTTCCTCCAACAAAACAATTTTTTATCAGTTTTATTATGACACAAAAGTTTGGTGAAAAATGAATTTGCATTTGACTTTTCATGTTGTTTTCCTTTTCCCTGAACTATTTCTTCTGTATCTGATTGTTTTTCCTGCTGTGTAATAAGTCTTGATGACCACAAAAGGGTTGGAAATGACAGAAACATGTAACAGATGAAGATGCTTTTTGTTTCAATTTTTTTTTGTTCTCCAGGTATCTATTTAATTTTCTAGTCATCTTTGTACTTATTAAGATGTCTTATTTTATCTTGTCTTCCTCATCTCTTTTTCAGGCTTCAATTTCTTTTTAAAGTGCTGCTGGGCATTCTTAAGCCAAAAATAGAGATATGTTTATTTCAGCAAGTAAAGTTATAGAGGTAGTCTTGCAAAGGGAATCCAGTGGTCAGTCTTGTATAACCATGGGAAACTTTCTTGTAGATTACAGAAAATGAAAGAAGAAAGTTTGGTAATTGTAGTCATAATATTTGTTGTTGTAATATCTATTAACGATGTGAAACAGCCTCACCATAATTCTAACTACAAAAAAAAAAAAGAGGAAAAAAAAAAAGTTAGTGGCTGTTTTACTGTAGTATTTCCTTCTTTTCCAAAGCATCATCCAACTTTTTCTTGAATTAACGTACACAAGTCACTTTAACTGCTGGCTGCATAACTTTTGGCAGTTTGTTTGATATTCCAACCAATATTTGTATAAAGAACTGTCTGAATTGTTTATAGGTTTGTCCTCCTGCCCAGAGTTTATTCCATGATCTCTTATTTTGAAAACAAC